TATCCCCACTGTCCCCACTGTCCCACTGACTCCTCCGCTGTCCCACTGAGCTGTCCCACTGTTCCCACCACTGTCCCCACTGTCCCCACCACTGTCCCCACTGTACCTCTGTCCCATTGTCCCACCGCCGTCCTCGCCACCGCCTTCACCACTGTCCCCACCACCACTGTACCCTCCACTGTCCCACTGTTTCCACCTCATTCCCACTGTCCCCACACCACTGTCCCCACCACCACCGTCCCCACCACTGTCCACTGTCCCCACTGTTCCCACCATTGTCCTCACCACTGTCCCCACCACTACCGTCCCCACCACTGTCCCACTGTCCCCACCACTGTCCCGCTGTCCCCTCACCACTGTCCACACCACCGCCGTCCCCACCACTGTCCGCACCTCCACTCGGTTTTCGACGGGGGGGGGGTTCGAACTGGTAGTGACCCCCCCTGGTTTTCGATGGGGGGGGGGGTTCGAACCGGTAGTGACCCCCCCTTTTTCATGATGAACTGGGGGGGGAGGGGGGGGAGGGGTTCGAACCGGTAGTGACCCCCCCCGGTTTTCCGGAGGGGGGGGGGAGGGGTTCGAATCGGTAGTGACCCCCCCCGGTTTTCCGCCAGCAGCGGTAGAACACGCTCTTTCATATATCTATCTATCTATCTATCTATCTATCTATCTATCTATCTATCTATCTATCTATCTATCTATCTATATATATACACATACGTGCTTGGATGTTGGATGACACACTTATCTGATCTTGGTCCACGCACTTCGCGGCCGCTCAGCTCTTGACATGAGTTGTCTTTCGTGACTCGGACTCGTGCTCGAGAGTTGACCTAACTTCATCGACCCACCCCTCATTCCACCTCGGGGGTCAGAGTCTCTTTTCACGGACCCGTGCGTCGAAAGCAATCAGGCGCTGCACGCCGCTGAGGTCTTCGCGGACAGTCAGGCGCGATCAGATCGGACTCGGAGGCGCACTCGGTCGAAATTAGACCTTTAGGAACACTTCGACCTGGTCAGTTGAAGCATTTGGGCTAGGCTCTTCAGGCTTGAGTGACTGGACGCCAGAATATAGTTTTCTGGAACATGATCCGGGTGTTTGGATCCCAAACGGGAAAAACAAGGTCAATTGGGGCTCAACTAGTCATAAAATATCTGGATGGTCGGCAGCACAGGGCATTGGGAGTAGTTTGTGCTGGTGGTAACTTCTGGAGTGAGTCAGGGCTAATGGTAACTACTGAGAGTGAGGATTGTCGGCACTACTGCAGCGGGACTTATGTGGGCTAGTGGAAACTACCCGCATTATGAATTCAGGGCAGTGGGGCTAGTTGGTGCTGGTGGGACATACCTGCACGGTATGCAATTCAGGACAGCGGTCTAGCTTCCTTGCGGGGGTACGCTTTGCTTCGAGATCCGAGCGCGAGTCTCGTTGCTGCCTGTCTGGTCGGATCTGTCGTAACACTGTGAGACTTGTTTCCGTCCAGTATCATGATGTCGGCGTACCAGATTGCAACCTTGTTCTCCTTGATCCGCAGCCTTCTCCCTCCCAGCTCAGCTCAGCACAGCACAGCACAGCACAGCTTAGCTCGGCACAGCACAGCACAGCACAGCACAGCTCAGCACAGCAGAGCACGCAGGGCTAGCGCGCAGGGCACACTTTCTCGACACCAAAGGGGGTGCGCAGGGGGTGGTCCCCCTATCCGCGCCGGTCGTCCAGGCCGTAGCAGGCGTGGCAGTTTCTCGACGCCATAGTGGGTGCGCACGGGGTGGTCCCCCTATCCGCGCCGGTTAGCAGGCGTGGCACTTTCTCGACATCATAGGGGTTCGCAGGGGGTGGTCCCTCATCGCGGCCGCTATCCGAGACGGTCGTCCATAGGGGGTGCGCAGGGGGTGGTCCCCCTATCCGCGCCGGTCGTCCAGGCCGTAGCAGGCGTGGCAGTTTCTCGACGCCATAGTGGGTGCGCACGGGGTGGTCCCCCTATCCGCGCCGGTCGTCCAGGCCGCAGCAGGCGTGGCACTTTCTCGACACCATAGGGGGTGCGCAGGGGGTGGTCCCTCAGCGCGGCCGCTATCCGAGACGGTCGTCCATAGGGGGTGCGCAGGGGGTGGTCCCCCTATCCGCGCCGGTCGTCCAGGCCGTAGCAGGCGTGGCAGTTTCTCGACGCCATAGTGGGTGCGCACGGGGTGGTCCCCCTATCCGCGCCGGTCGTCCAGGCCGTAGCAGGCGTGGCCCTTTCACACAGCACAGCACACCTGCACAGCACAGCACAGCACAGCTCAGCACAGCACTGCTCAGCACAGCTCAGCACAGCTCAGCTCAGCTCAGCACAGCACAGCACAGCACAGCTCAGCTCGGCACAGCTCAGCACAGCACAGCTCAGCACAGCAGAGCACGCAGGGCTAGCGCGCAGGGCTCACTTTCTCGACACCATAGGGGGTGCGCAGGGGGTGGTCCCCCTGGCCGCGCCGGTCGTCCAGGCCGTAGCAGGCGTGGCAGTTTCTCGACGCCATAGTGGGTGCGCACGGGGTGGTCCCCCTATCCGCGCCGGTCGTCCAGGCCGTAGCAGGCGTGGCACTTTCTCGACACCATAGGGGGTGCGCATGGGGTGGTCCCTCAGCGCGGCCGCTATCCGAGACGGTCGTCCATAGGGGGTGCGCATGGGGTGGTCCCCCTATCCGCGCCGGTCGTCCAGGCCGTAGCAGGCGTGGCAGTTTCTCGACGCCATAGTGGGTGCGCACGGGGTGGTCCCCCCATCCGCCGGTCGTCCAGGCCGTAGCAGGCGTGGCACTTTCTCGACACCATAGGGGTGCGCAGGGGGTGGTCCCTCAGCGCGGCCGCTATCCGAGACGGTCGTTCAGGGCGTAGCAGGCGTGGCACTTTTTCGACACCATATGGGGGTGCGCAGGGTGTGGTCCCCGAGCACGGCCGCTATCCGCGCCGGTCGTCCAGGCCGTAGCAGGCGTGGCACTTTCTCGACACCTTAATGGGTGCGCAGGGGGTGGTCCCCGAGCGCGGCCGCTATCCGAGACGGTCGTCCAGGGCATAGCAGGTGTGGCATTTTCTCGACATCATTGGGGGTGCGCAGGGGGTGGTCCCTCAGCGCGGCCGCTATGCACGACCGTCGTCCAGTGCATAGCAGGCGTGGCATTTTCGTGACACCATAGGGGATGTGCAGGGGGTGGCAACGGCCACCAACATCATTCTCACATGCTTCACTTCAGCTATCGTTACTCCAGCCATAATATATGTATGTGGGGTTCCTCGGTAGCGCAATTTTGGTCGCGCCGCCGCGCCATTTTGGCTGCGTCTACTCGCTGGTAGCCACCAGGATTTTCGGACGCCACTGGGAACGGGTCTAGCGGTTCTTTTCGCCCTTCTGAGCTGCCGTCCGTTTGCTGCGCCTGTCTTGCTTTTCCGCTTTTTCTCCGCTGCCTAGTCGTGGCCCGGCTAGAGTTTGGACGCCTTTTGACCCGCTTCACGAAGCCGTTGACCAAAAAGTAGCCCCACTAGCCCATCCAGAAACGATGCCCAGAGGAATTGCCTCGATCAGGGAAGTGGGCAGCACACAGAGGAAGGGTCCCCCAGTGGAGGCCTCTTGGGGCGTCTTGGGTGCCTCGGAGAGCTTCTTGGGGCCTCTTGGGGGTCTCTTGGGAGCATCTTGGAGGCCTCTTGGGCGCCCGTTGGGGCCTCTTGGGCGCCTCTTGGGGCCCTTTTGAAGCGCTCTTGGGAGCCGAGGGAGCGCTCTTGGGGCCATCTTGGGGGACATCGATCAAACAAGAAGCGAGCATTAGTTAGCGCTGCCCCTCGGGAGCCAAAGCAATCGCCTCTTGGGGCGCTCTTGGGACGCTCTTGGAGCGCTCTTAGGCGCTCTTTGGGCCGTCTTGGGGCTCTCTGAAGCCTCTCTTGGAGCCCTCTGAGGCCATCTTGGAGCCATCTTGAGGCCTCGGATGGCCATCGGAAGCGAAAAGGCGAGAAAGCCAAACACGTAGAATTTCCTAAGGTTTTGGCCTCTTCGGGGCCTCCTGGGGGAGCTCTTTGGCCACTTGGAGCCGTCTTGGAGTGGTCTTGGGGCATCTAGGAGCATCGTGGGAGCCATTATGAGACATCTTGGGATATCTTGAGCCATCTTGGAGGTCATCTTGGGCTCTCCCAGGCGCTCTTGGAGTCATCTTAATCAGTGCCCCCCCAAGAGGCCAACGTGTGGCTAAAACCTTAGTGAAATCAGCGATTTGGCATTCTCGCCGAGGCCTCTTGGAGCATCTTGGGTGCCTCTGGGGGGTCTCTTGGGGCCTCTTGGGGGTCTCTTGGGAGCCTGCCTCTTGGGGGCATCCTGGGGGCCTCTTGGGGCTTCCTGGCCACCTCTTGGGGCTCTCTTCGGGCACCCTTGGGAGCCTTGGGGGCCATCTTTGGGCCATCGTGGGTGAGATCGATCACAGGAGGGGGGGTGACTAATTAGGGCCCTCCCCTCAGGAGGCCAAAATGGGGCCAAAGCCGTAGTAAAACCAATGATTTTGGCTTCCTCGCCGAGGCCGTTTTGGACGCTCCGACACCTCGCGAAACCCCTTGTCCAGGTCCACGGGGAGGGGGTAGGGGGAGGGGTAAACCCCTCCCCGAAGGGGAAGAAGGAGGGGTGGAAGAGGAAACTCCCTACGACGCCCAGAGGGCTGGTGGGGTCAGCTGGAGAATTTGTCGTGATGCTGTTCGGTAGGATGCTGGTGACCGGGTCTCAATGGATTTATGGCCAGAAGCGAAGTCGATCCATGTCTTTCTCGTAGGATGGAGGAGAGAACTCGTGCTCTACGGGCTTGGTTGCACGAGGATGCATGGGCGTCGGATCCGTCAGTGTCTCTCTCTTTTTCCCCTGGGATTGTGTCGCCCTGCCGCCAGAGAGGTCTACTTTAGTTTGCTGCTGGTCCAGGCGGAATTGTACCCTCCTCCTCCTCCTCCTCTTCCTCCTCCTCTTCCTCCTCCTCCTCCTCTGCTTCCCTTCCTTGCCGAGAACATGGAGCAAGCGGCCTCCCTGGGCCTGATCTTCTTGCTCTTCATGATCGGTCTGGAGCTCGACGTCAAGGAGCCGTGCGTTCGTTTGGCGGCCACGCGCAGAGGGGGGTAGGGGGAGGGGGGAAGGCTTCTTAGAAGCACCCCTGCTTCTTAGAAGACGCGGGCCTTTTCTATAGACGTAAGGCCGGCTCCCTCTAAGACGCAGCCTAGTTTAAGAAGCCTTCTCGCCTCCACCTCCCCCCCTTGTTCGGGGAAACGCAAGACCCGAGCAAGCCGGAACTCGGGTTTGCCGACGTTTTTTTGACGAGCGCGTCCTAGATTTTGACGGTCCAGTTTCCGTGGGATGTCTGCAGCGGGAGCTCGCGTCAAATTTCAGATTGGGCCTCGTCATTTTTATGATGGCCCCGTCGGGCCAACCCGAGTCCCCCGTACCCGAGTCTTACGTCTCCCCGACTTGCGCGCGCCGCAAAGTTTGGGAAGACCGTGTCAGAGTATTGGGACACGGCGTAGCGAAGGGGTGCCGACCCCAGGCGACAGGAAAGACCGTGATTGAAAACTGTCGCTTAGGACGGTGGGACTTTTCTTTTACCCTATGGATGGCCACTTCGGCGCTTGGAGCCTTGTGGATGGATCCAGTACGCTAGGAAGCTGCTGGACTGGTGAAGAGAGCCCTGGGCGGGGGACCCGAAACCGAAGCAAAAAGGCGCTGAGACGGGTGCTCCACGAATCGGAGCTGCCCGTCAACCAGCAATACCACCGAGGCTTGTCGGTATGAATCGAAGGGCTGTGCCCACGCATGGCCCCAATGGCCTCGGTTTGGCCCTGGTGAGACGTCTTCAATGCTCTCAGCCGGCTTCCTCCGGACACGCATGGCGCACGGCCACGCCTTCGCATCTGCTGATGGCTTTTCCGCAAACGTCTCTGAAGCTTGGCAGTGCCCTCCGAGCACGGCCAATATGGGAGCAGCACTCGAGGGATCGAAGGATGCTCCGTCGGCCTCCGCTCGTCAGCATGAGGGCTTCCCAAAGAGACGGCAGGATACGAAAGCGTGCGTGCACCTTCTGGATGATGTCGAGAGAGCCCTTGGACACTGTGCTGGCCTGCCGCTGGATGGCACGAAAAGCCGCCATCGGGTTGCACTGTGGATGCCGCGAGGGCCCCAGATCCCGAGGGCGCTGGTTCGCCAAGGCCGAGGGCAGACTGTCCATCGTGCCCTCCTCGCGCCGTCTGCAGGATAGATGTTGGTTGTCGGAAGTATGTACTCTCGGATTCCCAGTTTCCAGTCTGCTTCCGGCGCCTTCCTGCCTCAAGGATCGAGCGGCTTCCCTTTTTTTCCCTCCTCTTCGGGGGCCGGGCGGAAACCCAATCTGCTTCCACCGCCTTCCCTTCACGTTTTCACCTACTTCTTCCGACCGACGTGCCGGTTGTGATCAGGACGTCCCGACTCGGTGGGTCACAGGCGGCCCGTCGAGGTGGCCATGCGCTCGGGGTCCCGGCGACCTCTCTGGGCAGGCACCGGGGAGGTCTGCGGAGGGGCAGCCGTCGGCACAGCTGCGGCAGCAACCCGCCCTGGCGCCCAGTGGGCTCATGGAGGGAGGGCGGCAGGGAGGGAGGGGTCAGCACTGACCGCGACGACGATCTTCGCACAGTCGACGCTCCTAGCAGCAGCCCTGTCTTCGTTGTCATATCTTCCACCTTGTTAACCGTGTGGCTTTTTGACCCACAGTTGTGACCTGACCAGTCGTCCAACACCTTGGTTCATCTTACATATGCACAGGGTGTTTTTTTAGCGTTTTCAGCTCGGCGTCTTGAACATCATTTTGTAAGCGTTTTCAGGTCTCAACCCCAAACACCGAAAATGGTAAAGCAATGATGCGTTGTTTTAGCTTTTTCATTTTTTCCACATTTTCAGATCCGTAGATTGCGTGTTTCATTATCCTTGCGTGTCCCTATCGTCCTCTTTATACAAGTTTGCTTGTCTGTGGCCGTCGCTGGTGACTCGTCGCGGAAGCCCGCCCTTCCTTTCTTCCTTGGCGTCAGATTTTTTTGTTTTGTTTTGTTGTTGTTGCTGCTGCTGTTGTTGTTGTTGAACATTATTAATTCTAAAGAATAATTATTGTTGGGACCCCTGGTGCACGGCCCCCCTGCGCCGCCTAGGCCGCAGCTACATTTTCATCATTTTCGTGAGGAAGCCTCAGGTAATACGATGTGATCAAGATCCGGTTGTTTTGTTGTAATCCGTTTTCCCTTGCAAAAAACACTATAAAATGACATTTCTTGTTCTAATATAATCAAATTTCAAGAATCCCTTGCAAAAAATAAGGTAAAGTGGACATTCGCGCGCGCAAGACGAAATCCTTCCAAAAGCTTAGTGTTCGGAGCGATTTTAACATAAAAACATCAAAAAACCAATGGTTTTTCAACAAAAAAATGTCAAAATCTCATCCCGCGCGCTCTTGCGGATTCGTAGGAAACCAACACTTTTTAAACATTTCTGTCAAACGGGCTTTTGCGAGCAACTTTTTCGAACTTCTGCGACAACGGTTGCGCACCTGCCAGGGCCATCATCCCTGTCAAATAATACCGCGCGCAAATTTTAGCACCGCGCATCATAAAATCACACGAATCGCACCGTAGGTCCTCGAAAAACACCTGCACGACTTTTCAAAATTTCCACCCGCGCGCGCTGTCCGAATCCTAAAAAAACCAATGGTTTTCCAACATTTATGTTACATGAGCTCGCGCGAGCTACTTTCGCACGCTCTTGCAACGGGGTTCGCGCGCCTGCCAGGGGCAGATGTTCTGTGGAAGGCTTAACAACTTCTGTGGGTTAACAAGGCTTAACAACTTCTGTGGGTGTACGAACGTAGGCTTAACAACTTCTGTGGGTGTGTACTCCACGCCAGTGTAGTAGCCACGGTCGTCCGCAGGCCACGAAGTGAAGTGTCCGAACGTCATAGGGCGGGAAGCTGGGTGTGGGTGGTGGCGAAGAGTCGTGTGGATATTTGGTAGAGCTTGCACTGCCCCCCCACAAAGTGGGGGTATTGGCTGGCGTCGCATGAAAACCCTGGCACTGGTGAGAACACTGAGCGTTCGGGTAAAGTGATTGTTGCTGTTGTTGTTGTTGTTGTTGGTGCTGTTGTGGTTGTTGTTGTTGTTGTTGTTGTTGTTGTTGTTGTTGTTGTTGTTGTTGCGTTTTTGGGTCTCCGCGCGGGATCCGTTTTTTTGCCCCCCTCCTCCCCTGTGTGCGCAACTCATGGATCAAGGCAGGTGCGTCGACCTGGGAGAGGGAAGGGAGGGCAGAAACGAATGTGCGCCGCGCTAATTCGAGAACCACATTTTGAAAACGACCCGCCCTGCAATTTTTACAACGAATGTGCGCCGCGCTAAGGCGATGGCGACATTTCGAAAACGACCCGCGCCCCATGTGTGAAACTGTTGCCAACTTTTCAGTTTAAGAATCATAAGTGGTGAGGGAATCTCAGGCGAAACGCCTGGCCCGCCCTGTAAATTGGTTTCGGGGTTCGACGCGGAGAAGTTATTCATAAGGAAAAGGAATGGAGGAGGAGGGGGAGGAGGAGGTGGAGGTGGAGGAGGAGGAGGAAGAGGAGGAGGAGGAGGGGGGAGGAAAAACGAGGAGGAGGAGGAGGAGGAGGAGGAGGAGGAGGGGGAGGAGGAGGAGGATGAGGAAGAGGAGTAGGAGGAGGAGGAGGAGGAGGGGGGCGACGGAGCAAGAGTGAACAGTTTACCCAGGGGTACAAGAAGGGAGTCGGAGGGGGAATAGGAGGGAGGATGAATGGCATAGGCCTAGGGGGGGGAAGGAGTAGGTGGAAACATGTGGAATGAGTGGGAGGTGGGAGTAGTCATAGTAGTCGTAGGGGTGGGTGGGTGGGGGTGGCGGTGGGAAGGGGTTGGGCTTAGCAGTGGCAGGGGGTCGTGGTTCTGTAGGTCGCCCTTCTCTTTGGCCTCCGCCCCTCCCACGTCCCCCGTCCAGGTCTCTCACCTCGTCCTGCCCCTTCCCGCCTTGCCCTCGTCGGCGTCGTCGTCGTCGCCTCCATCTCCCCCTTCCGCTTCGTCCCTCCGATGCGGCCCCTGTTCTTCTCGTGCCCTGATGCCTGTCGGCGCGTCCGCTGCCGCGCTGGCGGGACGCCGCTGCGTGGCGACCCTCTGGGTCCAGCCCAGAATGCCATCGCGCGCGGTGGCATTCGCTTCTCCTTTGATTGAGGGGGGGGCATGGCTCCACGCTGGCTGCCTGGCCCGCGTCGGCGCCCCCAAGGTGCCCAATTCGGGAAACCGTCGGGTCAGTGGTCGCCCGCGTTGGCCGCCCAGGGCCGCCGCGGCCTCCCTTTTAGGCCCCCCTGCGGGTGCCTTGGTCGCCGGGGCGGCGTCTGGAGGCCGCCCGGGGGCCGCGGCGGGCCGTCCTGGAGTTCATTGGGGCTGTGTCAGAAGGTCTTGTGCTTGCGCCGGCGACGCCGTGGCGGCTGCTTGGCCCCGCGCGATTTCCATCGTGGGCCGTCTCGGGGCGCTGCGCGGGGGCCTCGCAAGCAACGTCGGGGCCGCCGCGGAAGCAGGTTTGGGCCATCTCGGAGTCCAGGCGGCCCGAGAGAAGGAGACTGCGACGGCGTCGAGACACCCCGCGGGGCAGCGGCGGCGCTAGTATCTTCGGGCGTTCCTGGAAGACCGTCGGGAACGCTCATCTGGTGGCGCTGCGTTTTGCCCCCCGCGCGAAGCCGCCATCGGCCATCCCCAGGCCAAGGTCGGCCGCCAGATCGGGCCCGATACGATTTGAGAGAAGGCCCGACGTTTACGGCGGCGGGAACACCCCCGTTCGTCGCCCATCCGGCTCGCCCCCCCTCGCCACAAACCGGTCAAAAAGGCAGCGCTTCCTCGCGGTGGTCCCGCTTTAGGGGCGCGCAGCAACGATAATGGCATGAGGTTGAGGTTGAGGTTGCCAGCCGAAGGCGCATGGTGTTCTCGAGGGTTGGTGCGTTGCGAAGTGTTCCCGCCCCCCGCTTGCGCGGGCAGTGAATGGGTTGCGCATGCGCCAGTATGTTGCGAGCGTGGGCGAGCAATAGTATAGAAAAAAATGGACCAACGAAACCACCGAGCGCTTGGGGCTTTGTGGCAACCTCAAACATAGCAGTTTAGATGTTTCGAACTAGAAATGCCCTTAGGAGGACATTGCCATCATACGCCTTGAGGCTCTCTTGGCCCGCCTCCTGGGCAGTCTTAGGGCCCTCATTGAGCAGTCTTGGGGCCGATTTGGGGCCCTCGTGAGGCTCGTATGGGCAGCCGTTGGGCTCCCTGAGGTCCTGCTGGAGCCATTTTTCGCCGAGGCGCTTGGGAACCAAACGAATGTGAGAGCTCGAGGAACCGAGTTCCTTGTGACGCTTTTCCCCGCCTCTCGCCCTGCTGCGGCCCGCCTGGGGCGTCTGAGGCCGTCCAGGAGGCCCCCGTGTGGCCACTGCAGGCTGTGCCGTTCCCGACGACGTGCTCGTGAGGCGGGGGCCTCGTGAGGGAAGGCAGCGCTGGCGTGGCATGTTGTCTCTGTTCCCCATTGGAGGCCATTTGGGGCATCTACGAGGCCTCCTGGGGCCTCTCGGGGGCTCCTTGGGGTGTGTTGTGTCGTCTTGAGTGTCTTGAGGGGGAAGGGCAACATTCCAATCTTTGTGTCCAGGATTGCTTGTGCGTCCTCTCGCAGGACTCTTCTGGGGACCCGTTTGACCAAACGGGCGTTCTGACAGTTTCTGCCCCCCGCTTCCCCTGCTTCTTGCCCTTGTTCCCTTCCTGCTTCTCCCTCCCCTCTCTACACACTCGTTCCCTTTGTCCCGCTTGCCCCTCCTTTTTGGTTGTCCGTTCGGCCACCGGCGCCCCTGTCGACCTCTGTGCGCTTCGCTGCGGGCCGAGGAGCTCCTCAAGATGGGCAAGGCGCCGCGCAGCTTGCCGCGCCCCGCCCTCCGACCTACGGCGCTGGTCGGCGCCTGTCGTAGTTCTTCGCTGGGGTAATCAGCCAGCCGAATCCGGGAAAACATCCATTTCTGAGGTTATGGGTCTGCTGTGTATCTCCCTCCTGGAAGGCTCATTTTCCTTTTCCTTTGCCCTCCTCAATGGGGGGAGTCCCGAGGGTGAGGATCAACAGCAGGGGGGGAGAAAGGATGAGGAGGGAGGAGGAGGGAGGAAGAGGAGGAGGAGAGAGAGGAGGAAGGAGGAGGATGAAGAGTGAGGAGGAGAAGAAGAAGGAGGAGGAGGAGGAGGAGGAGGAGGAGGAGGAGGGAGTAGGAGGAGGAGGAGGAGAAGGAGGAGGAGGAGGCGGAGGAGGAGGAGGAGGAGGAGGAGGAGGAGGAGGGGGGAGGAGGAGGAGAGGAGGAGGAGGAGGAGGAGGAGGAGGAGGAGGAGGGGGAGGGGGTGGAGGAGGAGGAGGAATAGGAGGAGGAGGAGGAGGAGGAGGAGGAGGGGAGGAGGAGGAGAGGAGGAGGAGGAGGGGAGGAGGAGGGGAGGAGGAGGAGGAGGAGGAGGAGGGGGAGGGGGGAGGAGGAGGAGGAAGAGGAGGGGAGGCGAAGGCTCGGCGAAGGCTCAAGATGGTGGGCACTGACGCCCTGACATTCTATATGTCCTTCCGCATTCATTTTTTTGTCGGGGGGGGCGGCTCGGGGCGACGGATGAATACCCCTGATGCGCTCCGCCGCATCCGGATCGGCTCAATGGCCCGGGGTGGGGGGCCTGTGAGTGAGCCCGTGAGTGAGCTCGTCAGCTTCCAGCCAAGAATCGAGTCCGTGAGTGGACCTTTGGGTGGGGGGCCCGAGTCGGCGGCAGTTCCCAGCCGATCTGGATCTGCCACGAAGAGCTGGTTGGGACGGTGTCCTGGTGGTCTAAGCGGGCTTGGCTGTGAGGAATGAAGAAAGTGACGCCCCGCGCGGCGTATTTGACTGAACCAGTCCAATATATCTGCTGCGAGGCAGTGCAATGAACGCAATGCTCTGTGATGCAACGTGCTGCAATGTAGTGCAAAGCAACACAAAGCAATGTAACTCAAAGCGAAGGTCCCGCCCATGCGCTGCGCGCGGGGGCCGCAGATTCTTCAATGCGGCCATAGGGCCCCGTCCATGCGCTGCGTGCGAGGGCCGCAGATTCTTCGGGGCTGCCATAGGGTCCCGCCCACGCTTGCGTACGAGTTGCCGAAGGTTCTCTGTGCGGCCATATTGTCCCAGGCATGCGTTGTGCACGAGGTGCCGCAGATTCTTCGGTGCGGTGATCAGGTCCCAGTCATTCGGTCTGTACCCTGTGCCGCAGAGTTGTCGGTGCAGGCTTAAGCTCATGTGTTGCGTATCATGTTACACGTTTCTTGCGTCACCCATCGTGCGGGGTCCACGCTTGATACTGGAATGCCGCACAAACTAGCGACAACATTTGTCAGGTCTGACAGCTTTCATGTTCAGTTGCGCAGCACATCTGAGCGTTGGTGTGGGCGTGTCGGCGCGATGCTGTGGATATTCCGAGCATGTTGCGCACCAGGGGCGGTATCCACCGCACACCAAACAATGGCGTACACCATGGCTTTAGAGGCTGCGAGGGGATGTAACCGTGGAAGGATGGAGGAATGGGGGTAAGGAGCAGAGGTGAGGAGTTGGGGATGTTGGATGAGGAAGAAGAAGAAGGAATGAAAGAGAAGCGAGGGCGCATGAGCGTGGGCGGGAGACGACACGTGGAGGGAAAGACAGATGGACGCAGCGGGGGTGCATTGGGATGCGGGAAGTAAGGGGGTAGACATTAAGATGAAGCTGTGGATGATGAAGATGAAGATGATGAGGTTGATGATGATGATGCTGATGATGATGATGATGATGATGAGGGTGAGAATGAGAATGATGAAGTTGATGATGGTGATGATGGTAAGGAT